CTTTGTTGTTGTTGATATCAGCTTTATGGCAGTATAATTGATATACCATAAAACTTGCCCCTTTTTGATGTACAATTGAACCTGTTTTAGTATGTTCCCAGATTGTGCAACCAACATCAATATCTACTGTTAGATAAAGAAAAAAGAAAACACATACCTATGAACAGTCACTTCCATTTTTTTTCCTTTATTCATATGTGCTTACAATAATTGGGTCATTACTCCCACCTTCCCCCATGCCCTCTGTTTCTCCCCACCTCCTCCTTCTCCCCTCCATCCCCTCGCTTCCAGGCAGAAACTGTTTTGCCCTCACCTCTAATTTTGTTGAAGAGAGAGTGTAAACATTAGTAAGGAGGACCAGGGGTTTTTGCTAGTTGAGGTAAGGCTAGCTATATAGGGAGATTCCTAGTATTGCTTCCATGTACATATGTGTTACTTTCTAAACTGATTCTTCTCGAACTAACCTTTTCTCTCGTTTCTAGTCCCCTTTGTTTTTCTTTCTTCAGTATAGCAATCACTATTCCTCTGGATTCTATGGCTGTCCCACATCTGAACACGTCATGTAAATGGAACCATATCATATGTGTTCCTTTGTACTTGACCCTTTTCACTTAGTAGTGTTTTTCAAAGTTCATCCATTTTATAGTTTTTATCTGTAACTCATTAATTTTTGTTGCTGAATAATATCTCATTGTATAAATTTGTTGCATTTTATTTATCTATTCATCAATTGATGACATTTGAATTGTTTCTACTTTTTTGCTAATATGAATAAAGTTGTTATAAACACCTATATAGAAGTTTTTGTGTCGATATATATTTTCATTCTTTTCAATGTATACCTAGGCATAGAATTGCTCAGTCATATGGTTATTCTATGATTAAATATTTGAAGAATTGTCACAGTTTTCTAAAATGTTTGTACAATTTTTCATTCCCAGCAACAATGTATTGGAGGCTTTCAATTTTTTTACATCATTTGGCAACAGTTATTTGTCTTTTGAGTCAGCCATTCTAGTGGGTGTGAAGTGATATGTTTACAGTGATTTTAACTTGCATTTTCCTAATGATTAAGACCACTGGGCATCTGTGCTTGCATATTTGCTCATTAAACATTTATGTCTTTTTTTTAAAAGAAATACTCAGCTACTTTGTTAATTTTTAAGTTGGGTTATTTATCACTGAAATGTAAGAGTTCTTTGTATATTCTGGATACAGGCAAAGTCCCTTGCCAGGTAATACAGCTTGCAAATGTTTCTTTCCTGTCTGTTGGGTTTTTTTTCCCCAATTCTGTATGGTATCCATTGAAATGCAATAGTTTTTATTTTTGATATAGTTCAGCTTATTTATTTTTAATAGCTCTGTTACTTGAGCTTCTGAGGTTGTATCTAAAAAATCATTATCCAATCTAAGTTTGTAAAGATTGACTTCTATGTGCTTCTACTAAGAGTTTCAAGTTTTAATTTGTGTCTGTGACTCATTTTGAGTTAATTTTTGTGTGTGGTGTGAGGTAAGGATCTAACTTTCCATTTTTGTGTCAATATCCAGCAGTTCCGTGCCTTTTGCGGGAGACTGCCCTTTCTCTCATGGAATACTCTTGAAATCCTAAGCAAGAAATTGCTCAAGGACATGGGGGTTAATTTCTGGATTCTCAGTTCTATGGCGCTGACTTGTGTAGTTGAACGTATGGCAGTGTGTTCTTCATTAGTGTAGTTTTGTAGCAGGTTTTAGAATCAGGAAATTTAAGCCCTCCAGTTTTATTCTTTCTTTCAATATGGTTTGGGCCATTCAGGATCCCTTGAAATTCCATATGAATTTGGATATTGGTTTTCTATTTCAACAAAGAAGCCAGCTTGTGTTTTAATAAAAATTATGGTGAATCTGTAGGTTAATTTAGGAAATATTGCTATGTTAATTATATTAAATCTCCCAGTTCACGAATGTGGAATATGTTTCTATTTATTCAGGTTTCCTTTAATTTTTTTAAACAATGTTTTGCAGTTTTTAATTACACTTTTTACTTCTTTTGTTAAATTTATACCTAGACATTTTATTCTTTTTAATGCCATTGTAAAGGTAATTATTTTCTTAATTTTATATTCAGAGAACTCATTGACAGTGCATAAAAATACAATTGCTTTTTATGTATTGACATTGAACCTTGCAACCTTGCTAAACTTGTTTATTAATTCTAATATTTTTAACTGATTACCTAGGATTTTCTATACACAAAATCACATAATCTGCAAATTAATATACTCACAACTTCCTCCTATGTTTCTTGTCTAATTGTCCTTGTCAGTCTCCAAGGCAGTGTTAAGCAGAAGTGATGAGAGCAGACATCTTTGTCTTGTTCTTGATCTCAGGAGGAAAGTATCTTTCAACACTAAGTATGATATTAAATGTGGATTTTTCAAAGATCACCTTTATGAGACTGAGGAGTTTCTCTATTATTCCTAGCTTGTTGAATGTGTGTGTGTGTGTTTTTTTATCATGACAAAAAACAGGATTTTGTCAATTCCAGTGATAAGTTGTATTATATTTCCTGGAATAAATCTCACTTGCTTATGGTTTATTGAATACTGTTTAGATTTAGTTTGCTAGTATTTTGTTGAGAATTTTCATGTCTGTATTCATAAGGAATATTGGCTTATAGTTTTCCTTCCTTGTATTGTCTTTTTTCTGACTTTGATATTATTAACATGGTACTCATGGAATGAATTGGAAAGTGTTCCCTCCTCTTCTGTTCTTGGAAACATTTGTCAAAGATTTGAATATTTGATAAACTTTTCCAGTAAAGAAATGTAGTCCTGGGTAAATTTAGTCCTGTCTAAAATGTTACCAATTCGATATCTTCTGTTGTTACAGAGCTTTTCAAATTTTCTTCCTGGGTAAGTTTCAATAATTTGTGTCAATCATCTCTGTTATCTCTTTTGTTGGCATACAATTGTTCATAGTACTCTCTTGTAATCCTTTTACTTCTTTAAGATTGGTAGTGATGTACTCTCATTCCTAAGGGAATTTTCTTTTTTTCTTGGTTACTGTAGTTAAAGCTTGCTAATATTGCTGATTGTTTCAAAGAATCAGTTTTTAGTTCTATTGATTTCCTCTACTGTTTTTCTGTTCTCTATTTTATTTACCCCCTGCTCTAATCATTATTATTTCCTCCATTTTGTATGCTTTGGGTTTAGCTTACTCTATTTTTTTCCTGGTTTCTTCTTTTTTTTTTGGTAGTGGTATTTGGGTTTTGAACTCAGGACTTAGGGCTTATTAGTTAGGCACTCCACTCTATAGTATTATAGCCATGAACTACTTCAGCCATCCTCTAGTTTCTTAAAGTAAAATGTAGATTACTGATTTGAGCTGGTTCTTGTTTTTGTTTTGTTTTTTTAATGCAGGTGTTTACAGCTATGTTTCATAAAAGCACCGATTTTATGGAATTCCATAAGTTTTAGTGTTTCATAATTTTGTTTCTATTCATTTCAAGATATTTTCTTTTTCCTGGTGATTTCTCTTTTAACCCATTGGTTATTTAGGAATGTATTGACTAATTTTCACATATTTATGAATCCCCCAAATTTCTTTCTCTGATTGATTTCTGATTTAATTCCATTGTGGTTTGAAACATACTTTATATTATTTCAATCATTTTCATTTATTAAAAAGCCTGTTATATGATTTATCTTGAAGAATGATTCATGTGCACTTGAGAAGAATGTCTATTCCATTGTGGTTGGATAGAATGTTCTATTGGTGTCTGTTGGGTCCAGTTGACATATAGTATTGTTCTGTCTTGCTTTCCTGTTAATTGTTGAAAGTGGGATAAGGAAGTCTCCAACTTATATTGTTGAATTTTCTATTCTTCCCTACAGCTCTGTCAGTTTTTGCTTCATGTATTTTGGGGTGCTGTTGTTAGGTGCATATATGGCCATGTTTTCATATCTTACTGATGGATTGATCCTTCATCATTTTGAAAGTCCCTCTTTATCTTTAGTAACATTTTTTGTTTTGTTTTAGGTATAGCATCTCCAATCCTCTTTTGTTTAATATTTGAAAAATATATCTTTTTGATTCTTTTACTTTCAACATATTTGTGTCTAGTGGACAGTTTTTATTATACCCCTTAGATTAGGGATTTTCTAATACATGAGTATCATTATCACTATTGTCATATTTTTTTCTTGCTAATCACTTTTGATAGTTTTTAAAGCTATTTCAAAGCTCTGTGTTGAGTTATGAGTATATCATAATGAAGAATAAAAGGCAGGTGGGGATTATTTTCTGGACTGAAATATTGGACCATATAAATGTATAAGATTATTAGAAGAGTTGACATCAAATCAAGATGAAGCTGAAGCTTGAGTTCTACTTAAGTGCTGGTATTTCCCACAATAGTTTGAGACACTATCACTTGATTGTTATACTACCTGTTCTGAAGGTTGTTCTACAAATCCAGGGCATTCTTTATGACAGTGACCATCAATCCTGCAATTGTAAATGCATGTCCCAGTATATCTGGTCTCTCACCTCATCCTCCCCCTCCCTGACTGATTCTGGAAAGGAAATAGGGTGTAACAATAGGAGCACTGGAATGTTCTTGCTCAGGGACTGACCTTTGTATCATGGTTCCTCTGTTTTCAGACAAAAGAGATTAAGTTAAAACTGGGCAGATGACACTTCTGGGCCATTGGGCTGAGCTGCTTTTCCTCTTGGCACCTTCAAAGGACTTATCAGGATTCTCTGCTTTTCAGCCCTCCCAGCCCACACTCTAACCTTCATACCTTCCCAACATTAGGGAAGGGGAGGAAGTTTTCCCTGTGGGTTTTCTGTATGACGACATGATGGGGCAGATTAATCAATGGGGAAAACCCCATGTGAAACACGCCTTCTTGTGTACATTCCCAATATTTTGCTATAAATACAGCTGCTAGTAGAACAGAACAGCACTCTCTGGGCCCTGGGTACCCAGCACTGAGCACATTTGTCTTCGAGCTGAAAAGATGAGGTGCAGTAGCAAGAGTTGTGTCCTGGCTGCTCTGATGTCAGTGCTGCTACTCTACCTCTGCAGCAAGTCAGAAGGTAAGTGTTGCTCTTTCTGATAGCACAGGAGGAACAGCTGTCTTCCTTTTACTCTAAACCTTGTGCGCATCTGGGAGTCCCCAAGAGATGGAAGCCTGCTAGGAAGTGTACAAGAGGGAGTGATGGGAGTTGTCAGCTCATTGATGAGCGGGGGAAGGGAAGGTTACTCTTGTTATGTGTCTTTTCTGCTGTCCATCCCAGTTGATTTGGGGAGTGGTGGGCCTTCAGAGGGCCACGGAACTTCACGACAAGGTCAAACTGCTGTTTATGAGAGTGTTGTAACACTGTGTAATAAGACCAGTGTATGAGGTCCTTCAGAAATGTAGAGAACAGTTTCACTTCTCCAAACTTTTCAGTTCCCCACTAAATAATGTTAGTGAAGTTCAAAACTTGTCATTTAGGTACTGATAATAGCACTTGCTTCTTGATCCCCGTGAGGCTTTGAGATAATATCTATTCAATACCTTATAGCAGGTTATAATTTAACTCAGGGGCGTGTCCAAACATTGCTTTATGACTGAAGAGTGCATCACTTACAGCAACAGGTGCATGCCCGAAGTTCAATATATCTATGGAACTTCTATGAACAAAATTTAAAATTCACATTCACTAATACTACAACTTCAAAGTGCTTTTTCCTGCAGCTTTTAAAAATCATATTTTTTGTATCTTTTTTGTGGTTTTTATAAATCATATTTTCCTTTATAATCTCACTTCTCTTTAGTCGGTAGTCAGATAATAGATGAAATCTGCCAATTTAACATTTTCTGAATTTGGAAGACTTATCTATAAAGGTTTTTTAATTTTTTCAAAATGATAGGAAGAGGTACCTGTATCCATTAGTGATTATGGTGAATTGAAATAAAATAGTTTGTGTTGCTTATTAAAGATACTCCATTTGTGAGAAGTCATGGTTTCTAAATCTGTTATTGAACCAAAACTTCCCAGCACATTATTTTTAAGGATTACTGAGAACTATGTTAAATTGAATCTCAAAGACTCAAGACAGGTTTCAAAGACATTGAAACTCTTCCAGCAAGTAGTTTAAATCAGATTCACTAGAGTATTTGCAACTTCGGGTACTTCCATAACACCAGTCACAGAAGAATTTCATTCATGTGGACTCAATACCTTTTATTTCTCTTTCAGCAGCAAGCAACTTTGACTGCTGCCTCCGATACACAGAACATGTCCTTCCTACCAGATTCATCATGGGCTTCACACAGCAGCTGGCTGATGAAGCTTGTGACATTAATGCTGTCATGTAAGTTACTCATCAACTTTAATTCAATTGTATCAGGAATACATGGGAATTTCAGTATAAACTTTTTTGCCTATTTTAAAAAATAGTTGATGTGGCAAAGATAGCTTTATTTCAGGTCTACCTCAAAGTTTACTTAAGACTGAAATAAGGCAAAAGCTCAAATTTTAAAAAGAAGATACAAGTCACTTTCTCTGATAAACTATAGACTATTGGAAGAAAGTTTTTTTTGAGCATTTTTCTACTGGAAAGTGGGCAGGGCTGTTAGTAAAATCTCAAGCTAATTATATAATCACATATATGTTGATTCATATAGGATGTTATATTTTGAAATTATGTAAGTTATTGATTAGATACATAAATATTTCATGCAGCTGCCAGCAGCAAAGTTAAGTGGCAATTCTGGGGCTTTATCTTCCTGCATTGTGCAATCCATTACACTGCAGAGAAAGTCAAGGGGAATCACTTTCATCCCTGCATCAGATTTACCACATACATTTTATTTGCATTTCATTTAATCTTTTTAGCTGAAATGTTTCGTGTATAAAGCAGTTAACTGAAACCTGAAATTTTCATTGCATGTTCTGTGAACAAACATCTAACAAACAAACACAAATCAACTTTTCTGATTTTTCAGCTTTCACACAAAAAAGAGGTTATCTGTATGTGCAGATCCAAAGAAGAGTTGGGTGAAAAGGACTGTGCGTATCCTCAGGTATGGGTCACTGACTATCAATTAGCTCATCTTCAAATTGTGGGGGATGAGGAATGTGTGGAGGGTGCTGTGATTCTTCTGCCTAAGTACACTAGAATTTCTAAAGGGGAAATTTGGATTGGACCATGAAAACAAAGAATGCATTTTTCCACTTATAGATCAACATCATCATCATCATTTTAGTTTCACAGGCTGTATTAGATTTCCCTGTGCATTTGAGTAATTAGATGTTTAATTCCTGTTGCAAAGATGCTTCCTATTTACCATTGGTTGTTTGCTTAAAAAATGAAAAATAAACACTAATTAGTGACCAATGGTTCTGATTTATGTTGATGATATTAGAGAATAACATTTTATCAATAGATAACACCAGTGTGCCATAGACACTGAACTTGAAAACACTAGATAAGTGTGCATATCTTGTTTCTGTCATTAAGTAGTTTAATTATGTTGGGCAAGGCCCATCCTCTCTCAACCTCAGTTTCCTCATATGGACTCTGAGCTGCTTTGCATCCTGAGATGAGATTAAGGGCACATGAAGCAATGTTTAGGTACAAAAGCCATTCCCATATCCAGTCACCCTGCCTTTGTTTATAGTTTTTTTGTTTCTCTTTACAGTCAAAGAGTCAAGAAGATGTAGAAACTACTGCTCTTCTGGGATGCAATTGGACATAGCCCAAGGATAAAAAGAATGCATTTGGTGTTGGAGGCTTCACTTGCATATCCTTTAGCATTCAGCACTCATCTGATTCCTGCCTCATTGGACTTGTCCAGTTGAAGAAGTTGATTCATATTGCATCATAGTTTGCTTTGTATAAGCATTGTGTTAGAGTCAAGTTATATTTTGTGTAAGTTATTTATAGCTGCAGGTTTTCTATGTTTAGCTATTTAATGCTATTTTCTCATAAGTTATGTGGCTTAGTGCAAAATATAACATGTTTAGGGAAACAAGATTGTATAGGCCTATTGAAAGCAATAAGCTACTCTTAAAAACTATTTAACTTTCTTCTGTGTGTATAATTTTGTCTCATAAACTGTTGTGATTACATTATAAAAGAGAAAGATTACTATAAGAAGGACATTGAAAATAAAGAACTAAAATTTACTTGTTGATTGAATCATATGTCAATTGAGATATATATTGAAAATATTTAAAGGCACTGAAAATATTTAAAGGCACAGAAAATATGAACATTTTCTGAAAAAAATTTATTCCTCAGTTAGTTCTGCCTGGATGTTCCCTTTATCTCTGTCCCTCATGGTCCTGGGTTTGGTTTTAGATGAATTATAATGATGAGATTGTTTTTAATTCAAAGTCATACAAACTAAAAACTAGAAATATCCTGTATTTGTGGCACATAACCCAGCACTGATCTATTGATATGAAATTTTAAAAAATAAAATGCGTAACCATAAACCTGTGACTTGTAGGAACACAACAACCATTTAGAAAATACTTGGAGAAATCACTTGTCATCCTGCTATTACTAGAATGAGGCTAAGAATGTTCCTATCACCATAGGATCATTTCTCTACTTTAAAGTCCTCCTAAGTCTTTGAACAGTTTCCAAAAGGAAAATAACTTCATAGGAAGTTTTTAGAAACTGACTGCCTCGCCAACCAGGGGAAGACCCAGCAATAAGATGAAGGAACCTGAACTGACGTAGTTGTCATAATGTTCGCATACTTTAGTAAGGCTCATGGAATTCCTCAATTCAGCCCTCCAGATAGCCTGTCTGGGTTTCTAAAGAACGTGAGGAATCACTGGAGGCAGGCATGCTGATGAAATGATGTAAAACCCATAAATTCATAAGGCAGGGCAGAGGTGGGTCATTTGATGAAGAGCCAAAAAGAGCAAGTGGCACGATATGCTCTAGAGACATCTCGGTGTCCAGGAATAGTAACCTTGAGTCATCAGGGAAAGTATGCTCAACATCCTGTTTGTTTACTCAGCAAACATGGGTTCAGTCTTACTGTGTTCCAGGCACTATGCCAAGTGCTAGAGAGATTAGATGACTTAAGACTTGGTAACTGGCTCATAGATAATTAAGATTGAGCAATGTGGTGAGAAGGATGGATGACAGGTAACGCAGCTATCACAACACACGGTCGTCAGCACTTTAACAAAGAAAGTCAAGGGGTGTGACATCACTAGGGAGCGCTTCCGGAAGAACAGAACATTTAGATTGACCACATTAAATAGCTAATGCTCTATGTTCTTGAACCATGAAGAAGGCAGTTTCATGTAGTTCAGCCCAATGCTTGGGCTGAGGTATGAAGGACCAGTAGGAGGGAATCAATTGGAAAAGGGGCAGTGGGGCGTGTCTGGAAATATCCGGGGGCATGTTTTAATTGTCACAATATCTGAAGGTGGGGTATTATAGTAGGTATTCAGTAGGCAGGATCCAAGGGTGCTAAACCTACTGGAATGCTCAGGATAGTTCTGCATAATGAAGAATTGTCCCACCCCAAGTGGCAGTCACGCCACCACCGAACAATACCAGACGAAGCAGAATGCATGCAAGTAGTAGAGGAGGCAGTGGAGTAGCTGCAGATTAAGTGAACCTAAATCTCGCGGTTTGAACTTGAACGTGGAATTACTAGGGAACCATTGAGAGTGTCAAGGCAGGTGTGGTCTCTGCAGCAGAGGAAAGGGAGATGGGGCAAATAAGAAACAGAGGTACCAGAGACAGCTTCAATGAATAAGGTAGGAAGTGGTGAAACCTCAGTTAAAGTCAATGCAGAAGGAACAGTAGAGGAGAGATGGGTTTATAAATGTTGAAACTGACGATCCCCACCAGTCACCCTTTCTTGGAGCAGCACAGTCAAAGAAAGCAATTGTCAGGGGACAGCAAATTCAGCCGAGTGACGGGAGGCCTCCTTAGGTAAGCCTTACAGAGTTAAAAAAGGAGAGATTTTTGTTAGTGTTCTGACGATTTCTGAATCTTTTGGGATGAGGACTGAACTCTCCAGGCTGGCATGGCAATTTATTGGTCAACAACAAAACCATCCAGTGTCAAGTACATTAGCACAAGAGGTGGAGCAAGTGCGCAAGCCACTTGAAAATCATATTGGAATAACAAGAAGCTTGGGATCAGAGTGCAAGGCCTTGCTTTTTAATCTTTTTTAAAAAAAAAATCGAATACTATAGTTGTTCAGGGGGGTACATTGTGACATTTACAAAAGTGCTTGCAATATATCTTTGTTAAATTCACCCCCTGTATCTTTCTCCTTTATCCTTCATTCACACCCTCTTAGAACAGGTTCAAGAGTTCTCATTGTTCCATTTTCATTTATGTACATAGTAATTACACCATATTCACCCTCTTTCACCCTTTCCTTATGCCCTCCTCCCTCTCATTGGTACCAACTCTTGGACAGGACCTGTTTTTCTGTCTTCCATTTTTTAAAAAAAGACACATTTGTTTGTTTATGATGGTTATACAGAGTTTCCTTGTGATATTTCCATTCATATATGTGTATAACCTGAATTGTCTTACTCCCTCCATTACTCTCCTTTCTACCTTAGTCCTCTTCTGTTGGTGATTTCAGCAGGCTTGAATGTTTCATATTCATACTTGTATAGACAGTACATCAACCATATTTAATTTCTTTGTTTGCCCTCCTCCTCCCATTAATGCCCTTCCTTTAGTGTGACCTGTTTTACATTCTTGTCTTTCATTGTTTTGGTGTCTATTCATTGTTCAGGGGGATTTTTGCCTTGGTATTTTACTTGCAAATGTACTGTGTATAAGTCAATCTAACCCCCTCCACTGTACTTCCTTACTCTTTCCCCCGTTCTGTGTTGTTCAGCATTTTTCAGTGTGTTTTGTTCCTATACAGACATGATTTATTTCACTATTATTCATAACCTTTCATTTTTTTCTTCCTGTCTTAGTCTCCTTTACCAGTCCCACTTACCAGTTCTGTATATTTTTACATGTATATATGATACTGCTTGTATTTGTAATGGGAATATATTCCACATATGAGACAGAGCATGAGGCTTTTGGCTTTCTGAACCTAGATAACTTCACTCAAGATGATGTTCTCCTGTTCCATCCATTTACCTGCAATCAACAAATTTCATTCTTCCTTTTGGCTAAATAAAATTCCACTGTATATGAGTACCACATTTTCTTAATCCATTCATCAGTTGTGTGGCATCTTGGCTGTTTCCATAGCTTGGCTATTGTGAAGAATGCTGCAGTAAACATGGATGTGCAGATGTCTTTATGGTAACCTGACTTACATTCCTTTGAATATATTCCTAGGAGTGGTATTGCTGGATCATATGTAGTTCTAGTTTTGTTCTTTAAGAAGCCTCCATATTGTTTTCCATAGTGGTTATACTAACTTACATTCTCACCAGCAGCGTATGAGGGCTCCTTTCCCCCACATCCTTGCCAACATTGCTGTTGTTGGTGTTCTTGATGGTAGCCATTCTAACAGGAGTGAGGTGGAACCTTAATGTGACTTTGATTTGTGTTTCCTTTATGGCCTGGGATGTTGAGCATTTCTTCATGTGTGTTTTGGCCATTTGGGCTTCTCCTTTGAAAAAGGTCTATTCAGTTCATTTTCCCAATCTTCATTGGGTCATTGAGTCTATGGGATTTAGTTTTTCGAACCCCCTATATATTCTGGTTATTAATCTTTTGACAGATATATGGGTGGCAAAGATTTTCTCTTATTCTGTGGTCTGACTCTTCAATCAGGTGACCATTTCTTTTTCTGTGCAGAAGCTTTTTAGTTTCATGTAGTACCATTTGTCAATCCTTTCTCTTAGTTAATAAGCTATTGGAGTCCTATTCATGAAGTTATTGCCTATGCTTACTTTTTCCAGTGTGTTCCCTGCTCTTTTTTGTACTAGTTTCAAAATTTCAAGCCTTATATTAAGGTCCTTAATCTTCTTTGGGTTAATATTTGTGCATGGTGAAAAGCATGGATCTAGTTTCAGTTTTCTGAGTTTACTGCCTGTAGATACTCAGTTTTCCTAGGACTAGTTGTTGAAAAGGCTGTCACTTCTCCATTGTATGTTTTGGGTGCCTTTGTCAAAAATCAGGTGGGTGTAGCTGCATGGATTCATATCTGGGTTATCAATTCCGTTCCATTGGTCTTCATATCTGTTTTTGTGCCAGTATCATACTGTTTTTATTGCTACGGATCTGTAGTATAGTTTGAATTCAGGTATTGTGATACCCCCAGTGTTGCTCTTTTTGCTCAGTATTGCCTTGGCTATTTGTGGTCTTTTGTGCTTCTATATGAACTTTAGGGTTGATTTTTCAATCTCCGTGATGGCTGTCATTGGAATTTTGATGGGGATTGCATTGAATATGTAGATTACTTTTGGTAATATAGCCATTTTCACAATTTTGATTCTTCCAACCCATGAGCATGGGAGATCTTTCCATTTTCTGAAGTCTTCAAATTCTTTCTTCAGTGGTTTGTAGTTTTCATTGTAGAGGTCTTTCACTTCATTTGTTAGGTTTATTCCTAAATATTTTATTTTTTAAGGCCATTGTAAATGGAATTGTTCACCTAAATTCTTTCTCAGTCTGTTCATTATTCACTTTGTAATTTGAACACATAATTATTGGACTAACTATGTTTTTGGATTAGGAATGTTGTTCTTAGTTCACA